AGCGCGACCGAAGGCCGACAACTCGAGCGCGGCGTGAGAGCCCCCCGCGCGTGCGCGTGCTTCTTCCCCGAACGTCACCGAGAAAGGCGGGCGAACGCGTGGAGGGAGGGAAGAGGGGGTGCCATCGAACAGAAGCCCCTCGCGCGCCCAAAAGAGAGGGGAGGGATCGACGGCCTAGAAGGAAGGGAGAGGTGTCCGTATCCATGGGAACGGCCAACGTCTCACTCAGCCTCCCCGTCTCAAAAGCCTGCAAGGCCCGGCCCGCCTCACTAGGGGAAGCAAGAAAAAGAGTGGGAAGGCGGCGCCACTCATACTACAACGGTTCTCCAGGCCTCGGAACGGCGAAGCGACACAACACTAACAGCTTCCGTTCTCTTCACGGTTCCCCGCAACCCCCCTCCCTAAACCGGGCCGCCGCTCACTTACCATGGTCAGTCAGACTGCGGCCCCCCTCCCCAAGCAACAGTAGCAACCCCGGCCCGCACCCCTGTCATGTGACCTTAGAGGCCGTCACTTCACTCCACGCCCCCAGCACGTGACCACCCCTCCCGCGGGGTGGGGAAGAGTAAGGGCGCTCTGGTGAGCGTCGCTTACGGGGCGGCTATGATGGGCAAAGGGCGCTAGAGGGCGCTACACGTGTAAACAGGTGAAGCAGGAAGCAGCGGGACTAAGTCCGTCCCCCGTTACTCTGTATGTTATCAAATATTGGAAATATGTCCTACTGAGTTCACTGGGACTTTCAAGTATATCTGTTAAGACCATAGGTACTGTATATAAATCCGAAATGTGTAACATTCAGTTCGTCTAATGAAGTGAGCCCACGGAAGCTTGTGCCAGATTAATTTTGTTAGTCTTTTAGGTGCCACAAGACTTCGTTAACTTCGCTGCAATACACTAAGCTATGCCTTAGAAATTGCTTTCTTGCTTGGTCAGGTACGTGCTTTTTTGTTTGGTACCCCTCATAAGAATATTTAACACAAAATATAAATTCTCTTGTTGTATGTGAAAGTAGAGACTCAAATACTTTGGCCACCTAATGAGAAGGAAGAACTCACTGGAGAAAACCCTGATGCTGGGAAGAATTGACAGCAAATTGTTCCCAGCAGAGGATGAGGTGGCTGGACGGAGTCAGTGGGGCAGTGGGCATGAGCTTGGGTGGACTCCGAGGGATGGTGGAGGACAGGAGAGCCTGGAGGAATGTTGTCCATGGGGTTGTGATGGGTCGGGCATGACTTTGCGACTAACAACAAATGTTAAAGTAACATATATATGACATTTACCAAGAAACAAAGATTCCTAAGAACAAGACCTACTGATGACGGAGGAATTTGTTTGAGTAAACATGCTTGTAAAATTAGGATACATTCTGTTCTTGTATTTAAACCATCTATTTCCCCCTGTCCTGAAATAATGCTGGCAGCTATTAATTTCATTTCGAATCTGCATGATGTCTTACAACATCAAGCTGTGTAATAACTTTCTTAAAATGAATCTTTACTCCAGTCTATTTCTACATCACCAGCAGGTGTCTTGTATTTTATGTTTCTGAACCTGGTGCAGTGACAAACAACACAGTGTACACCTGGTGATAAACACATGGAGCTCGCATCCTATAATATGACTTGAGCAGTGCATCCATTATGTGAATCAAAGTGAAATGGGAGGTGTTTGCACTGAGGGTTATGTGGGCTGAAGTTCTCATCTTTGGCAACACATTGGAAGCACAACAATGATCCAAAATAAACTGCCTTATCTTGCCATCAGCCAGGGTTGAGGAGAAAGCACACACATGCACAGATAGCACAAGAACTTGTACTTATCCTTTTATTTTTTTATTGTTCCTATATCGGTCCTTAAGTCAAAGAATCCATTATGGAGGAAAAGATGGAGCAGTGCCTTCTGATTGCTTGCACTAGGAACCCTCTCTTTGAAAACATCACAAGTGTCTGTAAAAGACTCCCCAGCTCAGGGTTTTAGGAGATTCTTCTAACTTAATCTGGCAATGCCAGGCAAGGACTGAGTCCAAATCCTTCTTCATTGCATGTAAACTACTGAGGTACAGCCCTTCTAAGCCTATGTTTTAGATAGCAACTGCACCCTTGTTAGAAAACGTTAAAAATCAAGGAGAAAGAATCTGTGCCTTACTGTTTGTACAAGAAGCAACAGAAAATTCTTGAGAAAAAAAATCTGTATACCAATCTAAGTATTTGTAGTGACTAAAGCTTCCACATGAGAAAAATCAAAGAATTCTTAACTGAATCTTTAGCTTCAGTCAGAACCTCCGATTCCCAACTGTGGGAAGAAGTGCTGCAGAAACATCTGGGAATAAAGCTGGTTTACTTTCCCAAGAGCAGTGGAGAATTGCAATGTCTGTAATACTTGTTTTCTGCTTACATATACAAGCAGAACATACTAGAAATAAATGTATGTTTGTACAACATGCAGCAAAACCAACCAAGTTCATCATGTTTCCCAAAAGAATCCTTGCACTGCAAGAGCCATTGACTAAGGCAGGGGTTGGCAACCCCACGGCTCCGGAGCCGCACGTGGCTCTTGAACCCCTCTGCTGCGGCTCCGTTCGCTCAAAACACGCGGCCGGCACAGCCTCCAATCTGCTCAAAGCTCCACTGGGAATGCAGTGCTAGCTAGTTAAGTAAATCAGCTAGTTAAGTGAATCGCTACATTCCTCTGCTAAACAAGCTTCCTCCAGGCTCTCATGTTACACGAAAGGAAATGCTGCTGAAAGGATTCTCTTTGTCCCAATGTAATATCCTTCATCTAAATGTTAAAAGCTGCGCTTGGGACATGTCACAATTCACATCACTTGACTGTTTATCTGCTAATCAATCACTAAACACACCTATATCTGTGACCCAGCTCCGATTTATTGACCTTCCCCACCCCCCCACCAACCATGGATAAATCAAAGTTTCTGAAGAAAACCGAACATTTAATGGTATGTGGGTAGATTCATTTGCTTTTACTGCTTACGAACTTACGGGGTTTGCTGTTTAATGCATGCAGCCCTTTAGCACTGACTTTGACTCTGCAGGAAGCTGTTCTATTCAAAATATATGAAAGGAATCCTACTAGTTTATAATGTAAGATTAAAAATAACAGTTTTTAGTGACTGAACAAGAGCTGCAGCTAAATCATAATGAAGATATAGATCTACTTCCTTGTTTTAAGATTCTTATAAAAATTTCAGCAACATTATTACATTGGGAGAGGGATGTTTGTTCAATATTTCACCACGTGATAAAAGGATGAGGGCACACAGAAGCAGATGGCATTTTTGGTTTGCTGCAGGTGGCATGTTTGGTTTGCTGCTGGTGGATAATATAAGTTCGGCTTTTTATTTCGTAATTATTTATTTATTTAAAACATTTTTACATTTTAAAATACGAGGAGGACTCAGATAGACATTGAGTATTTTATTTGAAAGTAACTTTCAACCCAGCGTCTTTTTTTTCAGAGTTCAAAATGTTTTGTTGCATGCAGAAATAAAAAATTGTTTTCTCTGTAGCAGTTCATTGATTTCATAAATGCAACACACTATAGATTTTTATACATAGCATAAAGGTAAAAAACGATATATGCAGTGTTATCTTCATTTTAGATGTCAAAAGGGTTTTGCGGCTCCCGGTGTTTTCTTTTCTGTGGGAAATGGGTCCAAATGGCTCTTTGAGTGTTAAAGGTTGCTGACCCCTGGACTAAGGGAACAAACTAGATGCAACTTTTATCACCTAGTTTGGTGTTGAATAACCTGTTCTTTAACCAATAATCAGCACATTTCCCCTCCACCCCATCCCCCAAATCAGAAACAACATGAGAAATGTAACGCTTTGCTCCCCATTGGATTGGGGCCTTTGTACCTGCTGTTAGCATCAAGGAGGGAAAGTGAGCTTTCTCCCCAGTACAAATAGTCTCACCAAAGGCCATTTCCACTGGGCTACAGCACAGGGCAAAGGGTTACATCCTCCATGTCGTGGTCTCATTCTGGCTTGTGTCCTCTGTAGTAGCAACACAGTAAAGATGGGTTTTTCTACAGTGAACTGTGAAGTGCCACATCTAATTTGGCCAAACAAGATGTGACTTGGTTTGGTACAGTATAATTCTTCATCTGCTGGGGGTTCCTGCTTAGTCAGAAGCAGCATGGCCTCTTTACTTAGTCACATTTATTGGACAATGATTGTTCCCCAGAATAACTCACATCAGCAAAGAAGAGAGACGGACCCACCACCAGAATTACACAAGGAAAGGGAATTGGGAGATCAAGGCCAGAGCAGTTCTTCAAGACTGAGACAAAGTGGTGAATTACAAACAGGGATTTATATTGCTTTGGGCTAGTCAATCTTCCTTTAAACATAAGTGTTGGTAACCACACACATGCCAAGCTGGAGGTCCCCTGGCTACCAAATAGTGTTTTTAACATTTGAAACAGGGATGCTGTGATGACTAGTATCAGTCCATGCAGGCCCAGGTGCTGATGCCAGGGCTGTTTCTTACAGCTGCTGTCACCTGATGCTCTTTGATGGTCATCTGGAAGGACCTGGGCTGCAAAGCCCTTCAAGAGCCAGCTTTTGGATCACCATATTGCAAGTTTGTGTGTACTCAGTTGCAAGAGAAAGAGAGACTGATTGGAAGTCTTCTAGGGGCTGTGGTTGACAATAACCAATCAAGCAACAAATCCACATAACTTCACTAATCCGTCCCAGTTTCTGGAAGATATATTTCATCTAGGTACCTTTTCCAGTTTGTGAATTATCTGTAACATTAGATTTATTGCATCTTAGATGTGAAGATTTCCATTTTTTTCACAAGTGTCCTAAGTTTGGATGGCATGTCAATGACACATTTCTGGTAGCATACTTCAAATACTTACCATGCAACCTTATACATGTCCGTGCAGAAGCGAGTCCCAATGTATTCAGTAAAGCTTATTGTCTGGTAAGTGGGTTTACGGTTATACCCTTAACAAATAACAAATGAGTCTTTAGTTGCAGCTTGAATTTTAATAGAATTATAGCAGAATAAATGCAGGTATTGAGAAAGCAGCTTAAAATATTGTAAAAATAAGTGCTGTATCTACTTAAAATGAATAAAGATGTGCAGATTTGCAAACACAAGCCAGGTTATGTAATTGAAATACTACACGATACTTAAGCATGTGAAATAGTGTGGATACTCAGAATGCAAACAAATAAATTTCAGGAGTATTAGAATAGTACTAATAGTACTCATAATATTTATGAGACAAAGTACCACTTTTTAAATAAATGCAAGCATCACAAAATCCTGCTTATTTGTTCATTTTCAAAATTCTTACTAGGCTCCACATTACAAACAAAAGTTGCCCAGCCAACTGAGAAAAATGCAGAACTCAAGGTCCTTGCAGTGCTTCTGGCATGGTCAATTACCTAAGCAAACATGAGGGTGTACTACAAAATACTTCAGAATGACCCAGTATTAGGGGGCATATGCCTACTGACTTGCCTTGGGCAGCACAAAAGCCAAACAAAACGTGAACCATCTCTGTTAGCAGCCAGGAGGAAATGTGCTTTGCATCCTATTACTTGGTACAGTTGATCTAGCATTGCTGCTTCACTACCATCAATTGCCTTTTTCCTAATTTAGCTTCCATTTGAACAAATTGCCAGTTGCTTCGAATTCTGTTGTCCTACAGCTGAGGAGAGAGCCTAAGTTTCTAGAAGGTTAGTCTGCATCTTTAAAAAAGGAAGGAAAAGCTAGTTTTGAATACATTTTTTACTTTAAAAAAAAGCACACACAAAACATTAAGGCATTTAAGGTTGGTTTTATAGTTTGCATAACATTTTGCCTGCATCTAATATCACCATGTCATGAAACACAAAAGGCATGGAAGAAATAAGATCTCAGAAATTACAAACTGTTCCCTTGGAAGAATAAATTTTCTTTTGTTAATTTAAGCTTCAGCTTCTCATCTGGTAGGCTGATGATGGGATTGGAAGTACTGAGATCATCCAAGTCATACTCAAGGCCTGACCCAGACTCTAACTCCATATAATTTCCTGATCCATATTCATCTCCATTATATGGGAGACCAGGGTGCTGCTGAAAAGTCTTCATTCTGAAATGGCATCAAACAATCATGAGAAAACTTGGATACAAGTTTGAGATCTTCCTTATCTACTTCCCAGAAATAACTCCCTAATGAGATGTCTTATAAGTAATGTCATTTTCAGCTTGGGAATTACAAATCTTGCAGGGCTGACATTCATTCATTCATTCATTCATTTAGCGAACTTCTATGCCACCCCATTCGCCGAAGCCTCGGGGCGGCTCACAACAATACATACAATATCAACCATATAACAATATAAACAATATAATAAAACAATATAATAACCATATAATTGGAAACGTCCTGGCCAAAGATATAAAATCAATAAATAATATTAACAAATAAAATGACGTTTAAATAAAAAGATCTTGTCCTGGCGCCGAAACACAAATAACGATGGCGCCAGGCGGACCTCTCTGGGAAGCGCATTCCATAGATTGGGCACCACCACAGAGAAAGCCCTCCTCCGGGTGCTTACCCTCCTAATATCCCTCACGGAGGGTTCCCGGAGAAGGGCCTCATCTGCTGATCTCAAGGGGAGGGAGGGCAAGTATGGACGCAGGGGCTCCTTTAGGTAACCAGGACCCAAGCCGATAAGGGCTTTATAGGTGATAACCAACACCTTGAATTGGGCCCGGACTTCAATGGGGAGCCAGTGAAGCTGACGGAGGACTGGAGTCATGTGAACATAACGCCCAGTCCCCGTCAGCAGCCTGGCAGCTCTATTTTGAACCAATTGAAGTATCTGGACCATCTTCAAGGGCAGCCCCATGTAGAGCGCATTGCAGAAGTCTAGTCAGGAAGTTACCAATGCGTGTGTCACTGTCGCCAGGCAGTCGTTCTCCAGGTAGGGATGCAGCTGATGGATCAGCCGAAGCTGAAAGAAAGCGCTCCTCGCCACCACTGTCACCTGAGCTTCAAGTGAAAGCTCTGGGTCGAGGAGCACTCCCAAACTGCGGACCTTGTCCCTAAGAGGGAGTGCAACCCCATTCAGGACAAGGTCAAGGTCCCCTTCCCCGAAGCCCGATCCACCTACCAACAAGACCTCTGTCTTGTCTGGCTTGAGTTTCAGTTTATTGGCCCTCATCCAGCCCATTACCTCGGCCAGGCACCAGTTCAGTACAGCCACTGCCTCACCTGGATTGGTAGAGAACGAGAGGTAGAGCTGGGTATCATCAGCGTACTGATGATTCCACAGTCCACAACTCCTAATGACCTCTCCCAGCAGTTTCATGTAGATGTTAAATAGCAAAGGGGACAAAATGGATCCCTGCGTACTCCATGGCATAACTGCCATGGCACAGAGCCATAGTCCCCTAGCACCACCTTCTGGAATCGGCCATTGAGATAGGAGCGGAACCACTGCAAGGCAGTGCCTCCAACCCCCAATCCCGCTAGCCTATTCAGAAGGATACCATGGTTGATGGTATTGAAAGCTGCTGAGAGGTCCAGGAGAACCACCAGGGACACACTCCCCCTGTCTTTCTCCCTGCACAGATCATCGTACAGGGCGACCAAGGCAGATTCAGTACCATACCTGGGTCTGAAGCCAGACTGAAATGGGTCCAGATAATCAGTTTCATCCAAGAGTGCTTGGAGTTGTCCCTCCACCACCCGCTCCAACACCTTGCCCAAAAACGGGATGTTGGCCACTGGTCTATAATTAGTGGCCATCTCTGGATCCAGGGACTCCTTCTTCAGGACTGGTCGGACTACTACCTCCTTTAAAGGGGCAGGTACCCGGCCATCCCTCAGAGAGGCGTTAACCACTTCCAGGATCCAGGTCCCTATCCTGTGCTTGGCGTTGTTAATTAGCCAAGATGGGCAAGGGTACAATAGGCAGGTGGTGGGATGTACTCATCCAAGCTCCTTGTCCACATTATCAGGCCACAGTAACTGAAACTCATCCATCAATTTTGGACCAGACGGTGACATTGGTATCTCCCCAGAAGCCTCTGGGTCACTAGTGCAGTCCAGCTCGTGACGAATCTGAGCAATTTTCTCCCTATAATGCTTGGCAAAGTCGTCACAACGGGCTTTCGAGGGTGGTACTGGATCTTTCTTAGGGCCAGGGTGAACCAGCCCTTGTACCACCCAAAAAAGCTCCACCGGAGGGCATTGTGAGGAGGCAATGGAAACGAAGAAGAATTTCTTTTTCACCGTCCTCACCACCACAGCATAGGCCCGATAATGGGCTCTTAAGTGTGTTCAGTCAGATTCATCCTGTGATTTCCTCCACCTATGCTCTAGATGTCTCCCAACCCACTTCATTGCCTGCAATTCAGGTGTATACCAAGGGGAAGAGTGGGCTCTGCCCGGTGGGAGAGGACGCTTGGGAGCGATCGTGTCAATAGCCCTGGTCATTTCCCCATTCCATAGTTCGACCAGAGCATCAACAGAAGCACCAGCCTTGTCAACTGGAAACTCCCCCAGGGCCTTCAGGAATCCGTCTGGATCCATCCGGCTCCAGGGGCGGACCCACACAATTGGGTCCGCACCCTTACAGAGGGAAAGGCTGTTCTCGAGCACAAACCTCACGAGGAAGTGATCTGACCATGACAGGGGTGTCAGACATAAATTCCTCACCCTCAGACCACCCTCTTCCTGCCCCGTCGAGAAAACCAGGTTCAGAGTGTGTCCACGTTCATGGGTCAGGCCTAAGACATGTTGAGACAGCCCCATGGCTGTCATGGAGGCCATGAAGTCCTGAGCTGCCCTTGTCAGACTAGTCTCGGCATGGAGATTGAAGTCCCCCAGGACCAACATCCTGGGGGTCCTCAACACCAGGTCCGAGACGATCTCCGTCAGCTCAGGCAGGGAGACTGTTGGGCAGAAGGGTGCACAGTATACCAACAGAATCCCCAGTCTGTCTCGGTCGCCCAACACCAAGTAGAGGCACTCTAGCCCCAGCCTCGAGGGGACTGGGAGCCCCATGAGGGAGATGGAGGCTCAGTAAACCAAAGCAATGCCCCCCCTCCTCTCCAGACGTGGATGGTGCTGAACTAGATACCCAGGCGGGCACATTTGAGAGAGGGCGACATCCCCCCCCTCCCGCCCAGGTCTCTGTTATGCAAGCCAGGTCGGCCCCCTCATCCACAATCAGGTCGTGGATGAGGGACGATTTGTTGTGGACCGACCTGGCATTAAGCAGCAGCACCGGCAGCCCCGGGGGGCGGTTGACAAGACTACCTGGAACCCTCTGGCTGGGGGTAGAACCAGAAGGAGGGGCAGGTGTAAACCATCTGTCCCTCCTTCTACGCAGACACGTTAAACCCCCACCACAGTAACATGACATGATCATGTTCCTTGCATTCTCTGGAGCAAGGGCCTTTCCTATTCAAGAGAAGTAAGTATAAGTGAATTTCATAGAATTATAGAATAATAGGCTTTGAAGGGGCCAAGAAGACCATCAGGTCCAACCCCCTGCTGTTGCAGGTCAACAATTTACACAGTTCCACTTAGACTGTCCAGTTTCTTTTTGAATGTCTCTAGTGTGGGAGAGCCCATGACCTCCCTAGGCAACTGGTTCCATTGTTGTATTGCTCTGACAAGTGAGGAAACTTTGCCTTATATCTAGTCTGAATCTGGTTTGTTGCAACTTGAGTTTATTATTCCATGTCCCACACTGTGGCATATGCAAGAAGACATCTTGACCTTCCTTTTTGTGACAAAAGATCTTTTGTTTCCTTTTGAAATAGATATCCCAGCTAGCTGGGGTCTTCATTTTGAAAGGAAATCCATTGGCCTCAGGCACTTACAAAAGCTATAATTAGGTCACTGTCTTCTTCACATAATAAGAAATGCCATGGTGGACTACAGCTCATGCAAGATACAAGATCTCACAGGTCCCTGGAAGTGTGCATTACTTTAACAATTGATATCTTCTCAGCATGAAAGCTATTCATTAAGTTCAGTCTTTTGAATAGGACCATGGCTGGATGTTTGTGCTCTCTGCTCCATGCATCAAGATACTGCTGCTCTCCTTCCAGAAGCAATGCACTTCCCTGCTTGAGATCACTTTCTAAGAATGCAAATAGACAAGGGAGAAAATGCAACTGCTACCATCTATGGAGTTTCCCACACTGGGAAGTTTATTTCTCTCTCCCCGCCATACTCTTCTGCAGCACAAACACATGTATTTTTAAAAGTGATTTGAAAGTATGGATATATTTAAGATAGGAAGAGTCTTTATAAGCTTTTCCATTGCATTTATATTTGGTTCATTGTAGGTTCATCAGAGCACTACATGAAGAGCATTTCCTTTGATGCTTTTCTGCTACATAACCTCAAGGTATAGCAGAATTGTGCAAATACAGAAATGAAAAAGGTGTTTTGTTTCACTTTTAAGAATAATTACCACACTTTCCCTTGCTCTAAAAAAACTTGCTCTAAAGTGCTCTTTAGAGAGTGAAACTGGAGGGTCATAATATCTTGCAGAGAATCTGGAAACAACTGTGAGTGGGGAATGACAAGCCCATGATATATATCCTATGTACAAAAGCTCTGTATGGCATGATCCAACCCAAATTAAGTGTTTTTACACGCCATTATTTTCAACAGAAGAATTGAGTGTATGCTGAAAATCTCTTCAGCTAACATCAATGGATATTAAAAATGCTTTGGCTGGACTGGGTGGACCCAGTGTGGTCAATGAGTATGTAGATTTGTGTTTTCTTAATATAAGAATTTGAATATTTGAATATTTCTAACTGTTTAATCAAGGCATGGGGAGGCTGTTTTAGCCTAAAGACCAAATTTAATTTAGGAGCAGCTCTCAGGGGTCAGAATGTCAATGTTAGAAGGGGATCAGAAGGGAACAGGGCCAAAAACTAAAGAAGTAGGGCCAGACTTTAATTCAGCTTTTTAAAAATATAGTCCAGCTTTTTTTAAAAAAAGGAAAAAGCCAGAAAATCATCTATCAATGGTCAAGTGAAAGGAAGTGGGGCCATCCAGAGAATGCTGGAGGACAACATTGACCCTAGAAAGGTGGGGTTTGGCTACTCAGATCACAAGTTCTGCCTCTGTGGGGTAATCACTGCATCTATTACAGGTGTTGCTGTAAGGAATTAGGGGCACCTTACAGGAAACCAACAGGTTACTCGTCCGAATTGTTGGAAGTGAGATGGACTATTTCTCAACACAGTTGCTACTACTTTCCAGCTAAAGAGAAGAGAAGCTTTCAGAATCATCATCTCAGTCTTGGTAGCAAGTTAGTAAAGGAGCATTTTAGATGAGTTGGCAAAAAGTGCCCAGATTTTTTGGTTTTTTTGTGGGGTTGTGGGGAATCTGTGTAAATGTGTGGCCATTCATATAAGAAATGGATCCCAGGGATGGGAGTTTGGGAGGGAGGGAGGGCTAATCTAAAAAGGATTGGATAAATTTATGTGAGCTGTCCCGAGGCTATACGTGATGGAACGGCATACAAAAATTATAAATTAAATAAATAAATAAATTAAAGGCTAGAAGAACTTGCACTCAAATTTCCTTTCAAACATGAAAATTTGGGGCAAGTCACTCACAGCCTAACCTACCTCATAGGACTGTAGCAATAAAAAGGAGGTATGTAGCATCAGCCATGCTGAAAGCTCACAGCAGAATTTAATAAGTAAAAAAAAAAAATGTTCCTGCCTCCCACTCCCCAGGTAAGGAACCTGCCATCTAAATTTGTCAATGTGAAAGAAAGCAGCACATGGGGAAGGAGAAAAATGGAAAAGGTGGGATGGATAGAAGAAAATACTATGATGAATGCTTCTGTTTGCTTAGAGGTAGGATTAGGAGGTTAAGCTGAAAGCTTTGCCCTACCCCAGAAGTGGAATTTGATACAGAGGGGAGGGGGTAAAAATGTAATAAATAAAACAATGCATCTGTTTATGTTGAACTGTCAATGTCTATGGTGCTTCACGGAGCTGTATAAGTTAAAATATGCACAAAGGAAGGGGCAGCTCAACCTGGATCAGAAATATAATGTGAGAGAATTGGCAGATCAAGAGCCACTGCTCTCTTGGTGGTTCATGTGGAATTTTATTTTCTGACACTGTTTTTCCTGGTGGTAAGAGATTCATCCCTTTAATTTCTAACTGTTATGCTACTGTCAGAGATATAAAAACCCTACTAGAAAAAAGAAACTGCTGAGTATGTAGTTTTAGAATTGGGGTAATAGTGAATCTGAACAAAGGTGAAGCAACTTTCACAGATGGATACTAATAAAATTTTCAATATTTCACAACAACTTTGCAGGTAATAGAATTTCATAGGTTCTGCACCATCACCTTGTAAATGTCATGCTCGCCACATGTTTCATGAACAGTCAATAGTTTCATGAGTAACACAAATATGCTTTATAGATGAAGTTACTTTTACTTACAGCATTGGATCAGCCTTGGGAGGGAGAATCATGTTAGCTTTCCCATCCGGAATTGCAAAAAGAGGTCCTTTTCCCTCAATGCAGTTTGCAGAACGGGCATCGGGTCTGCATTTAACCCACATGTATTGGCCCTTCTGCACTGGAGCCCCTGATGGAAATGTTTACATCTGTTAGAGTCAGGTTTATTTATCATCCTTGACAATATTTACATGATAACCCTGCAATATAAAAAAATTATACATGTTTCCAAATATGTCAAATAGGTTGAAAATGTAAACAAAAGCCTGGTACTTTTTACCATATGTGGTGGACTTGTGATAAAGCAAAAAAATAAAATAAAATAAAATAAAATTGGGATACACTACATAGATGGCTTGGGGAAATGTTGCAAAGACCTGTAATATTTAAACCGGAAGTATTTTTATTAGGCATTCTCCCTGATGACTTTGATAAACAAATTATATATTTGACTCTACATGTAATCACAGCAGTGAGGAATGTATTGGCACAACACTGGAGGAATGAAGAATTACCAACTGAAGAAATTATTTTAAAGAAGATACTGGACTGTGCAGAAATGAACAGACTGACTTATCTCTTAAGGAAAAAGAAGATACACACTACTATCAAACTTGGGACTTTTTAAATAATTGGTTAGACAAATGGGATTATATTTAGGACTGAAATATACTTTAACTGTAAAGAGAATAAGATAACTCAGTATGTTTGATGTCTTTGGAATGACTATTGTTTTATTGGTAGAAAATAATAAAAACTTATTAAAATAATTATACAGAATGATCATATTCAGTACAACTCCTCTACAGAAAACAGAAGAGAAAATGTTCTTTTAAAGTTCCCAGTACCTACTGTGTGTCATATGTCCTCTACTACTTGAAGGAATGCCAGAGGACTGTTCTATCTTTTGAAGTCATCTTGTATTTAAAGCACTGGTTAGTTTAAAGATTAAAAAAAACCATCTGAAGCAAGGGTTGGTCCTTGCACTTGCCTGTCAACAGCACCTGGGCTGAAGAGGCTCGTGTCCCTTGGTCACAAGTCTTCAGCACTGTGGTGAGATGTACTGTATTTCTTCTATTCAAGTGATAATAGCTATTGCTAGATTTGCAATTTAACATGGATATTATTTGCCCTGTTTCCAGTATCATTCTGAAGGTCAAGGCAGGGATACCCAGTTCAAAACCCCTCTCTGAAGCACTGATGATGTCCTTATGTCTGTCACCCTCTGTCTCCTGAATTTCCTTTGCAAAGTTATTTTGCAGATTAAAATAGGATTAAGCCCCTGCATATCTCCATGACCTCCTTATAGCAAAGGAGAACAATTGGCAAACCTGAGGGGCCTCCTCTGTGTGTGTGTGTGTGTGTGTGTGTGTGTGTGTGTGTGTGTGTGTTTTGTTTTGTTTTTTACTGGATCACCCAGAGTCCACTCCAGAGTGGAGCTAAGTGCAAAACAGTGCCTCTGGAAGGTGGACAGAGAAGGAACAAAGTGCCACTGAACACATCCCACGCCCAGCTATACACACAGTTCTTCCACACAAAAATACTCCTGTTCTTCCCCATCCACATGGGACTTCCACGTGGACTTTGTTTCAACTTCCCAGTTTAAATGCAGATAAAAGTGAAGGAGACGCTACCTATTTTATTCTGCTTAGCCAGTGGCTAGTAGGGGTGGTGCTCTTCTCCATTTTGAAGGTGGTGAGCCAGTGCTGTCCGAAGACAATCCCATGGTCATGTGGCCAGCATAATGTGACGAAGCGCTGTTACCTTCCCTCCGAGGTGGTCCCTATTTATCTACCCGTGTTATATGCTTTCAAGCTGCTAGGTTGGCTAGGGGCGAACGATGGGAGGCTGGGCATGAACCACTAGAGTACCAACCATATCTGGCCAGCAGTTCCAGCATCATTAAGCCGCTGCACCACTGCTTCCCTTAAATGAGGATGGAGAGTCTTTTTTGTTGTTATTAAACATCTTTTTACAAATCTGCTACAAATTACTCAGATATACCAGAAGATCCCAATTCTCCTTCCGCTCATCTCACTGCCATGTATCGGGGGCTTTTCTTCATGAGACTTTTATGGTGCTGTTAAGGGTTGCTATCTCCGTTCAGTTTCATCACAGCACTGAGATCCAAGCTCTCTGCAAAAAGCTCTTCCTTTACTATTTTTGTTACACAGCCTCTTAAGTGGGAAAGTAGACTGGTGTAAATACACAAGGCAATTAGGCACCATTTTCCCTGTTGTAATTTAATAGCTCATTTTTCCTATTCTTAAAAAAGGGAAAGTGCTGTGAAAAAAACAGATGCAAAACTGGACGATCACAACATTATCTAAAGAGCCCATAAACAACTGTGAGAAAGTACAAGCTCAAAATAATGGCTTGTCTAGAAAAGCCCTGAGAGAATTGTGTATAAAAAAGGAAATGCACCCTACAAATGGAGTTTTCCTGGATTTTTTTTTAATGTCCCAGAAGCAACTAATATATTACTGCAGTGAATTGGAGAGTTCTCATATATATCATTTTTGGGGGGGAAAAGAGCATTCAGCTGCTGGCCCTTTGACCTCTGAGGTTTCACTTCACATCTGTACCCCCACAAGGAAACCAACAGTTGTAGCAGAATTCTCTCAGGGAGGGAGGGAAACAAACTCCCAATAGCTGCGGTAGCTGATCTTCCTGAGCAGGTGTTTTAACTGAGTGAAGTGAGTCAAATGTGGGTAAGGTAAGAGGCTTGACAAAGCTAAGACAGGCTGTTTCTTGCTCTCCCTCTGAAAATCTCCACTAGGTAGCCTTGAAACTGCCAAGTCATCTGCTCACCTTTGCCCTTCCTCCTCTTCCTCCTCCTCCTTCAAATTGGATAACTCTCTGAGCACTGTAATGTGTGAGAAAGCTAAGTTCCTTCTCTACATCTTGGTGGTGGGTTTTTGTTTTGTTTTTTTTTTACACAAATGGTGCATGCAGGAAAGAGGAGCAAAAGTTGCCACCTGGTGGAGCCTGTAGCTTTAGGCAATTTTCTTCCTACCTAACTGCCAATATTGGAGCTAGATTGGGGGAAAGTAATGGAGTGCAAGGAGAAAAGGCAGGAAAGGGGCACAGGTTTTACTCACTTCCCCTATATGCTCTGTTTGGTTAAAGGGTCCAGCTACCAATGTGAGCAGGATCAGTAAATGTGTAGCATGTAGTCTGGTATTAACTGCACATGTAAGGAATCTACCTAATTATCTGAAATGGGGACAGAAGGAAATGTGCAGCAGCAACTTCTTGGCCTACACAAACAATACAAAAAGGCAAGGTGCATTTCTCTCCTACACTCAGAAATAGCCGGTCTCCCAGCTATTTCTAGTCCTTCAGCCTTAATCTTTGCAAAACTAAAGACAAAAAGTCTAAAAAGGAGTCTCACTTATGCACGGTCGATGCAAGTCAGCTCCTTGGTTGCTGGTGTGAAGGCAGGCACGGGGCACACAAATGGGAGGTGCTGGAGATGCTCCCTGCAGAGGTGCTGGCAGCATTTTGCAGCTTGATGAGACAATGGCTTTGCTGAGCGCTTCCACCTCTTCCCCATAAACTCCAGCAATCCAGCAGAGCTGCGGAGGATCTGCTCTGTGCAGCCTCCTCTACTTTTTGCAAGCAAGTGGAAATCCTGGTCCTGGAAAAGGATGCTTTGCTGTTGTTAAGTTTGCAGGAAGGAGAGGAGGAAAATGGGAATGGACGTCGGTGTGACAAGGCACAGACTGTCAGTTACCTTTTCATAATGCTGGCTTGAGAGGTGAAGGCTATACTTAAATTGAAAAGAAGGAGATCCTTGTGTTCTGAGCTGCCCAGAAATTATGCCGTCCAACCTGAAATTTAACCTCCCCTTCTGATAAATGAATGTGGAAAGGCAATTGTGGTTGGTCTGGCAAAGGCATTCTCCACATGCTCAGATGCACAGTCCTTTACCACATCACTGCAAACAAATACTTGTTATTGGTTGGTGATAAGCTAAGATTTGTAAATGGTACATTTGGAGGCAGGGGCCACTCAGTGAAGGTTTGAAGACTGAACCAAGTGGGAATTAGGGGGATCGCTAATGTAGCATGTCTGCAGATTCGGGGGGAAGTGGAAGGGGGGATATTTTCAGCAGAAGGAAAGCTGGTGGGGAAAGGTCAAAATACTTCCACCTTTGCCCTGTTGCCTCACTTAGTTCCCCAACTCAAAGACAGGAATCAGAAGTGTGACAAGCCATGTCTGGCACTAAGGGAAGGTGGATTGATTTGCATGAGTGGCAGAAGCAAAAAGCAAAAAGAGAACTCAGTATTTAGGTTCCCCAAGATACTAATACTTGCTCCATTCAAAGGAATGCTCTCCAGTTTGTTAACTCAAAGCAGGAAAAGGTGGTTTACAGAAAGGCAATGGAAACAGGTGATCGCCTCCGTGATGCAGGTGGGACTGGAACTTGTTTGCCCTGAGCTCCTAACAACAGACTTGCCTTTGGAGCAGTGTAATTCCTTGAACCTGGTCTGCATTTCTCGCTGTCCAGTGAGTTCCTGTTGACATTATTTTCAGTGGGGCCCTTCTCCAGGCCCAAACTCTGGGAAAAGGCTGGGATGGATTAACTTTTGTGTGGCGAGGGGTCTCTCCAGACCCACCATGATCACCCAGAAAGAGGCAGCTAGCGGGCCATGTCAGCACCTGGTCTGTCATAGTCTGACTGATGCTGATGCAGCTCACTGCAGGATCCTTTCAAAAACGTTGTAAGCAAAGGTGACTAGCTGAGTAGTACAGTTTCTGGCGCTCATTTTATTATTACAGTGGTGGACAAACAGAGGCTCGTGAGCTGCATGTGGCTCTTTGAGTCTATTTTGCAGTTGGCCGCCTGTGGGCACCCACCTGCAGTTCTCAAACATCTGACTTTTACCTTATCTTCCATTGAGCGAGTCTGGCTGCCCTTTTATCATTGTTACTTTAACTATACATTATCTTTCCTGCCACAAAATAATGTTTATTCCCAAGTAAATGTGGTTAGCAACATGGCAACAGAAGCAAACTCCATTTTATTCTTGTAGTGTTGATGGTGCTATGATTTAACCGAGTTTAAAATGCGAAACTGCATGTGCTCAAGGTATTTCTTTCTCTTTTTAAAAATACTTTATTTTTATATTGCTTTAACATGTCTAGAATTCAGCAGCAGTTGTTACACATGGAATGATGGGTAGATGGAAAAGAGACATGTTAGTTGCTCCCTTCACTACAGAAGTAATCCATAAGACAGATATTGTGTAAAGGTGCATGAAGAGAGGGAACATTTGGGGTTTAAAATTGCTTAGCTGTATCACTGGATAGCCTCATAAAGGCCTGTTCACCACTTGTGGGAAATAGCTGCTGCAGATGTTTCCTAAATACCTTCAGACTTAAGGGACTGAAGTGTTTCAATTCAACGTCTTCCTTTTTAGCTTAACCACATTCCAAAGCAGGCCTTTTATTTTTACTTTTTCTGAAGTTCAAAGGAGCAGACTGAAACACTTGAAACCATGTTGAGCAATTTGTAGATTTGATCATTCATCCCTCTCTTTAGTAGTATTAACTGATTATACATGGCAAACATTTTAGTTGTGTTCATCTCTTTGTTGCCCTTTTTCCTCAAGTTTCACTGGGGTTGTATGACAGTGGAATTTTTTGGTTCTGCTTCCTTCAGAGTTTGCAGCAAACTGTTTTCCCAGCTTCCTGAGACACACAGACAGTTTTATTAATTAAACAATATATGTGGAATAGTTGTAGAAAGGCTTGTGACACTTGGGTTTTGTTTCGGCTTTTGGTTATATACAGGAGATAAATAAGCTAAAGCCCTGTGGGGGGTTCCACAGAAGACCATTGACCCCTTTCCCCCCAATCAACAGTTGCTTGGTAGCTTTTAGTTTAAACAATTCCACAGGATTAAAATATCTCTGCCAAGTTTTAGTTACTCAAAGCAAGATGTTTACGCTAAAGATATACTAATATTTTTATTTCTGCCCCTTTTGTCTTCAGCTACACTCACTAGTGGAATGCAGGCCCAGAGAATTTCTCCAAATTGAAATTCACCCGATGGAGAAGAGGAGGTTCAGCACTTGGTCATGCACAGTACCATCAGCCCAAGGAGATACTATGAAAACAGCCTGTTTGCAAAACCAAGGCAAATTGTGAGAGCAGCTTGTGCTATGGTGAGCCATTCAGACAGCAGGAAAAACCAAAACGCCGACTGGCTAGGACCGCTGTTTCAACCAAATCTGGTTTTAGGATGCTAGCTGCAAAGCTAAATACTTCGAATATAATGTTTAATATTATAATGCTGTTATTGAAACACGTAAGATCAGCAACAGCTTAGCATAAAGCACTGTTTTCATTAGCCCAATAGGAAAGGGTAACTTGAAAATTAGACAAGTTGAACATGCAACAAAATGTTGCCGCTTGAAGTAGGGCAGCTGGAGGCAGAGGAGGACGTGACATTTGCATCATGAATCAGGAGGGGGAATTTTAGCAGGTGTAGCTTTTCATCTAAATATCTCTTGCATCTGGCCACCCTAATGTAGACGGTTCCTTTTTAGGGTTTCAGCCTGCTGTGCCCTCTGACATATACGTCCCTATATATTTTTCTCATTCCTGCCCCACTGCCCATCCATCAGAGTTCAGTGCTCAGTCCCCACTGAACTGCTTTTGGGGTTATCTCCATTAAGATGCCTTTTCATTTTTAAAAAATATTTCTGCAACTGTGGAGTTTCCCAAAATTTGCTGCTGTTACTTTCCCCCTAAGCATAGATGTGTGCCTTGGATCTGTAAGAAGGATCAACACATAGAAAATGAGTTCACTATTAGAATATAAGATAAATAAATCTATGTTGTTGGACTGTGAATTGAATTTCCTTTTTACTGTTGTGGGCTTCAGACGTACACGTTATTATCTGTGAGGCAGATCCATTAAAAGTGGAACTTCTTTCTGATTAGACATACATAGAACGGAGCTGTAAGTATCCTGTGTGGTAACTTCTAACGAACAGAGCCCACAATTTCTTCACGCTTGCACAAATTTCCTTTTGCACCAGAACAGAAATTTGAAGACTTTACAAAGGAAACTGAATACCTTTTCAAATATCTTGCTATATTCTTTAATTCCACAAGGAAAATAAGCCAAGTAAATGCCATGTTTACATATAAGTGTGAACCAGGAATCCTAGCTTAATAAACCATGGGGAAAGCTAATTAGAAGAGGTAGATTCATGTTATATCCATACTGTAGGATTAATGTTAAGTATGTCTAAATAAGCTAGGACATGCAAGTCAACAGCAAGCCATTCCTTAAAGCTCTTTTATGAATCTTAGCTTGTTTGAGCACAGTGAACCATAATCTTTAATTCGGATGTGTTACGAATCTTTCTATCCTGGGAATGAAGCGGCACCAATTGACTGCACGCACTTTTACATGATGGCTTATTAAGTCAGGATGCCTTCCTTAAAGTGGCATGCAAACACAGCCAATGAAACATGTAGGCATTCATATACAGAAAATATGGTTAGCACATCCTTTTCCAACAAATATTTTGCCCATTCTTCTGCTGATTACTAAATAGTTTTCCAGAAACAACTTAGAGGGCTAATTTAAATTACTCTATGTTGAATTGGCAATGCAACTGTTAAAAGCACAACCCTATGGGCTTCTAAAATCATCTAAGAGACCATTTTTCAGAGTCCAAGCACTGAGGTCCTCCAGTCTTGGTGCTCAAACACCACAGGCCATGCCCACATCCTCTCATAGACGACACGAAAAGAACTGCTCTGCATCTTCCACCCTGCCTCACGTCACAAACATACTTGGGGAGGGGGCGGACTTCATACAGCTGCTACCAGTATGTTTACTTAGAAGTAAATGGGTCCATTTATGATTGTAGCCTTAGGCCAACCACTGGATTGATCTACTCAATATATTTTGGCTATAATTATTTTCCAAACACAGCTGAAAGAAATGCTGCCTAAGATGGCATGAGATTAATACATTCCCAATCTTACCAAGAGGGGCTTAAAGCGTTGTTGCTTTTTTAATGAACACTTTCTGTAGCTTAGCACACTAGTCCATTTTAAGCTGCTATCAGTAATTTTAACACAATTCAAATAGAATTTTATATAAGGGTAAATGATTTTACTTTAATAATCAAACTTACTTCCCAATATGTGTGGCTAGTTCTGCAACCTTCACATTACAGCAACCAGAATTTTTTTTTGGCATATTTATCATGGTTACTTTATACTTGAATGAGAACATGTTCCTCTAAAGCCATTCCCATTTTACAGCATAATCAATGTGTAGATTTTACTCAACATTTCCTTTCACTTCATATGTGTGGTACATTTTCCCAAGTTTTGTTGCTGTGAAAATGCCCCCACCCGCAATACACACACAACTCACATCATCCATCACAACTGTGGGTTGCTATGGCTGAATATTATAGTGCCATGATATCACTGGTGACAAATGATCTGCAAACCTAAGCCATTTGGTGACCTCTAAAAGAAAAGGTAGAATGTTCCTTTAGCACTCAAACATTGGAAGAGCATTTCAAGCCCTTTGCAAACAATATCAACAAAAGGACTCCAATAAGACAATTCTCTTTCTGCAGCACTGTCCTTTCACTTGACTCTTTGTCACTTTTCTTTTCCTCTCTTTTCCTACTGAAGCTTTAGAGGCTTTTTGCTCCAGCATTTCTGGAGCAGGAGTGTTACCTCCACATTCTTATGTGGAAATGACATCAGACTACTGATGCTAGCCCAGTAGATCTTACTAAGAATAATGTCCAGGAGAGGAGGGCATTGTTTGAAACAGTCCTACGTTTTAGGATACATTCAATGTAGGAGTAAGCCCCTAGTGATCTTAATGAGTCTTACTTCTGAATAGGCATGTAAAGAATTGCACTGCTGGACTCACATTTGGTTTCTGCTGCATAGTGTTACACAGCTTAACAAGGAGATTACAAAAAAGAACAGCCACTTGCAATTTTACCTTGTACTGTGCATCCCAGAAAGAGGATTATACAAAGAGTCAGGAAAATCCGCCCATTACGTCTGACAATCATCTCCGTTTTGGCCTGCATACCTCCACACTCCGCCAACTGTCAGTGCTACTCCGCCAATGCAACAGAACAAGGAGAGCGACTGCCTTTACAAAAGGTTTCCAAAACCTCAAACCCAACCCATGACTTGCGTCACAACTTCCTGAGCGCAGAAAAGTGACACATCGAATATCAAAACTTAGCCCCGACTTCGGCAGTTCTTGAGCACTTGCCAGTGGAAGAATGTTGTCTGAAAAAGACTGACCGCACAAGTTATGCAGGTCTCCTCAGAAGTATGTCCCTCCAAATTCTGTGAGATTTACTTCCAAGCAAGTGTACATAGAATTGCAGCCTGAATTTCAATACGTATTTCTCTCAGAAGAACAAAACCACAACAATGAATATGATAAAGAAGAAAGTTAAGGATGAAGCATTTAGGCTGCAATCCTATACACCCTTACATATGCATTTCTTGGTGGGGCTTCTGTCTGAGAAGGCATAGACAGGATTGTACTGTTTCAGTGTGAGTCTTCATTTAACTTACAGCAGTTAATAGCTTTCTTTTGGCACTAGTCAATTGGTCAATTTTATACTAACCTAAATATTTTGAAGAATTGGAAAAGATTTTATGAAATACTAAATATACATGTAAGTATAAATATTATAGCATCCTTCAGTAACACACATCATTTATATTATTGTTGTTTTACTGTTTTAACTTTTGTAAACCATCATTACATCCTCAGATGAAGGCCAGTATGTGTGAATAAATCCACAAAGCTTCATGGTTCTCTACTAGGTGCTTCTTGCTAAGCTTCCTAAGGAGAGAAAACATCAGAGACTTGTAGTAACTTTTAAATAATTTAGATAATAATACAGAACCCTTCATGGGACAGTGAACTCTTGCAAAACTATGAGGAGAAGCTCACAAACCATGTCTGGAGATAGTACAGACATTAAAATGCCTGGCCACTTAAAAAAAGGCAAAACAATGACCAAAAAAACCCAACAAGGAGGACTTATGGATAATACTTCTGAATGGTTCTGACAGCTATTTCATATGTTAAAAGGAACTGGCAAAAGTGAATACATTCACTTTTACAGTGAAAAAGTGTAATACATTCACTTGTTACTGGAATGTAACAACATAATATAAGAAGAAGAACCCATGTTGGATGAGACCAGGGGGCCATCTAGTCCTGCATTCTGCTGACATACTGTCCAACCACCAGCCCACAGGAAAACCACAAGCAGGACATGAGTGTAAAGCACCCCCTGGAGCAGGTTCTCCAGAAAATGGTATATGCAGGCATAGTGCTTTTGCTACTGAAGTAACATATAGCCATTAGAACTACTAGCCACTGGTAGCCGCCTTCTCCATGAATTTATCTCATCTCCTTTTAAAGCCATCCAAATTGGTTCGAATTCCATAGTTTAACTGCATTGCGTGAAATAGTACTTCCATTTGTCTCTCTTGAATCTCCCACTAATTGGCTTCCTGTGATAACCCTGGGTTCTAGTATTCGGAGAAAGGGAGAAAATTTTCTCACTATTCATTTTTTCCACACCATCATAAACTTTTACATCTCTTTCAGATTTCCCTTCACCTCCCTTTTTTCCAAGCTAAACAAACCCAAATGTTGTGACCTTTCCTCACAGGAGAGTTGCTCCAGCTCCTAAATTATTTTAGTTGCCCATTTCTGTACTTTTCCCAGTTCCACAATCCCCCTTTTTAGGTGAAATTATCAAAACTGTACACACTATTCCAAGTATGGTCACACCATGGGTTTGTAAAAAGACAATATGATATTGACTATTTTATTTTCAGTTCCTTTCCTTATTATGCCTAACCTTGACTTTGCCTCTTTCACAGCTCCACATCCTGAGCCAACATTTTCATTGAGCTGTCTGCCACTACCCAAGATCTTTCTTGGTCAGCCACCACTAGTTCAAATACCATCCGCTTCTACCTGAAGTTGGTATTGTTTGCCCCAGCAAGCATTACTATACACTTACTTACATTGAACCATATTTGTCATTTTGATGCTCATTCTCCCAGTTTGGAAAGATCTTTTCGGAGCTCCTCACAATTGCTTTTTGTTCTAACCACCCTGAATAATTTAGTGTCATCAGCAAATTTAGTCACTTCACTGCTCATTGATAATTCTGGATCATTTATGACTTGAAAAGCATTGGTGTCCATACAGTTCCTTGTTGGACTCCACTGTTTACATCCCTAATTGGAAGAAATTACTATTTCCTCCCACTCTTTTTCTGTTTCTATTCTTTAACCAGTTACTGATCCAGTAGAGGACCTTTCCTTTATTCCATGACTGCTAAATTTGCTCAAGCGTCTCCGGTGAAGGATTTTGTCAGTAGCCTTTCTGAAATCCGAGTAAACAATATCCAACAGATCACTTCTGTTCATATGCTTATGGACATTCTCTAAGTATTATAAAAGGTTAGATTTCTTGTGCCATTTCAGTCCCTTATTCTTCACCCAACTTCTACTGTAAGTATTTGAAGTAATTAGACAAGCCATTCTGGCAGATATTTTAGAAATTCACTGTCCGCAATATTATTCAATATAGACCTAAATTATACCGTTCCTAAAACAAATGTCTGTTTGTAGAGGATGGAGGGGCACATTACTGAACATGAAAACAACAATTAGGAAGAAAAGAGAACATACTCAGTATGTTGAACATACCCAGTTAGGAAGAGAAGACAACATCCCAGAAACTACCTGAGTTGTTTCAAATTACGATGAAATTATTTAAGGGCAGATGCATACAGTAATCTTGTAAATGCATCTCAGTGCTACTCCAGTGGCCATCATATCCAGTGTATGTATACCCAGGAGAGAAGGGAAAGAACATATAACCAGAAAATATAGTAATGGCAGGAAAATTACAGACATGTCCCTGGAAACCCTTGCAAAGACTGCGCTATACACTGCTGCCCAAGTTGAGAAAAGCTTAATTGTATTGTTTGCGAATCCATGTACACTGAATCAACCCCTTATCTCTTAAGCACAAAGTTTTTTAAACATTAAATGAATAGAAGAAGATTCTTGAGAGTGGAATAGATCTGCACAAGTAGCTAAGTGTGAGGAAGGAGGGGCAAGCAGGAAAAATGCAAGCGAAACGTTTTGAGCAGAATACTCCACAAGTCTTTGGATCTTTTTGTGTAGAACCTGAGGTTTATCATATTCTTTCCCTGGAGGAGAAAACCTGTAATGGCAGCATGCTGTAAAAGTGACCAAGTTTGGGAATATTTCAGTGAAGTTCCTATACCTATGGATAAGGCAGCCATGCATACAAATTATGCACAAAATCATCATTTAAATCTAGTCTTACTGACTAGTGATTTAAATCAAATTCACCCTGCCCCACAGTAAAAATTGCAACTTGAGATGCAAGTTTGAAAATACAGTGGACACATTCACGTGTCATGCTAATCCACCTTGTCAATAAGCCAAAGTGGGTTGTCGGTTGGCCAAGCAACCCACAGTGTACCCAACAGATGGTTGGACTCACTCTGTCTTATTCACCACCTTCCTTGGTCCTTTCATTGGCATTCCAGGGGACACCATTACAAGTCTGATGTGTTTCTCCCATCATGCAACTATTGTGAGTTCACCACAGCCATTTTCTTTCTTGCTTTTTTCCCTTCCTTAAAAAAAATTACCCTTTTTCCTTTTGAGATTATGAAAACTAGCTTGGCAGCCAGCTTTCATGGCCCTTATTTTGACAGACACTTGCAGATGCAAGGCTGTGTATCTTCCAGTCCAAACCTCTTGAGGCACAGTTGATGCTGGGTCCTCTCATCACTGTTGGAAACGTATTTCATTTGCCATTCATTTTTGTACATAGAACATACAGAAAGGGATTGCTGTTTGGTTCATCTCCTCAGGAAGCAAGCTGGCTTGGTCCAGCTCCACTTCTTCCAAAGGAAATCAAACCCTAGTAAGGGCTGTCCTTGGAACTTATGTCATTACTTCCCCATGATGGTGTTAGAAGGCAGATCAAAGAAGTTAGGAGGACCCACTTTGACCAGGAGAAGAGCAGATAACTAATTAAGGGGAAGTAGCACTGGTAAATCTGCCAGTGTCTTCTTTCATTTTGATTATACTATTTACTCCTATACTAGGAGATAGTTGTAATTGTTCAGAGAACAGAAGAACTGCATAGTAATTTCACTCTCTCCTTCCTCATTAAACAGCCAAGCAGTTCTAATATGTCATGAGCTAGATGAAGGATGGTAATACAAACATTTGTTTCACTGGCAAGAGAAGCAAAACCAGAGTCATTACCACATTGTGCTGTAGCAACTCTTGTACAGGCCACAAGTAACAGGCTTATGGGAACAACTCCTTATTTCAAAAGCCTCCTTCATACTCCCTACGGCTCCCCAACAACCCTGCCCAAAGGAAAGAGATGATACTGAAAGAAGTAAAGAGCAATTTACACTTTCTCTGGATGCCCACACATTTTAGTTTGAATGTTTCTCCTCACATCAGAAATTAGCTGAAGCACACCTCAAGTAACCAACCGACCACACATTCAACAACAAGAGTGTTTACTTCCTATTCAAATGCACTTGCTATTTCCTATTTTGACAAGCAGTTCTTTTAAAAAGAGATGATAAACACCCTCAGAAGGAAATTAAACAGAATGACTCTTTAGCCTGAAGACTCAGAAGGCTACTGCAACTTCCTTTATGTCACAGAAAATATTTTGAAGATAACAATATCAATCTTTCCATGGAAGCTTCTCAAACTGAATAAAATTACAAAGAAGTTTTCCAGATATGCTAGGTATGTAGAGCTAGTTTATCCAGCCAGAGTTAGATTATATGAATCCCACTGCCTATCTAATTTTGGGCCCAGTATTGAAAGACCTTAACCATTCTTCTTGCCCAAGGATTAAAATTGAATTGTGGCAGCAGATGCGGAGAGAGAGTGCTTCTGAAGGAGCCTGATTAGCTTAACTGACGCTATTTGCTTTTGTAAAAAGCCGCTTGCATAGGAGCTTGGTTAGTCTAACAAACGCCATTTGCTCTCTGTAAAACTGCTTGGAGA